AATCTTTCAAGAAATTATCAAGGAAAACTGCCCTGATATTCAAGAACCAGAGGGTAAAGTAGAAATGGAAAGAATCCACTAATCACCTCCTGAAAGAAATCCCTAAAGAAAAACTCCTAGGAACATTGTAACCAAATCCCAGAGTTCCCAGGTCAAGGAGAAAATATTGCAAGCATCCAGAAAGAAACAATTCAAGTATTATGGAAACACAATCAGGATAACACAGGTTTTATCAGTTTTTACATTAAGGGATCACAGGGCTTGGAATATGATATTCCAGAGGGCAAAGGAGGTAGGATTACAACCATGAATCACCTACCCAGCAAAACTGAGTATAATCCTTCAGGGGAAAAAATGGACATTCAGCGAAGTAGAGGACTTTCAAGCATTCTTGTTGAAAAGACCAGAGCTGAATGGAAAATTTGACTTTCAAATACAGGACTCAAGTGAAACATGAAGAGGTAGACAGGAAAGAGAAATCATAAGAGACTTATTAAGGTTGAACTGTTTACATTCCTGCATGGAAAGATGATATTTGTAACTCATGAGACCTTTGTTAGTATTAAGGTAGTTGGAGGGGAAAAAATTATATATATAAATAAATATATATATATATATGTATATATGTATATAGATAGATAGAGGGCGCAAGGTAAAGTGAAGATGAAAGGGTGATATCTGGAGAATAAAATTAAGGGGTGAGAGAGGATTATACTGAAAAAAGAGAAAGGGAGAGGTAGAATGGGGTAAACTATCTCACATAAAACAGACAAGAAAAGACTTTTACAGTAGAGGGGAAATGGGAGAAGGTGAGAGGGAATGAGTGAATCTTATTCTCATTGGATTTGGCTTAAGGAGGGAATAATACACACACTCAATTGGGTATGGAAATCTATCTTACCCTATAGGAAAATGGGGTGAGGGGGAAGGGGACAAGAAAGCAGGGGGATGATAGAGGGGAGGGCAGATTGGGGGAAGGGGTAATCAGAATCAAACACTTCTGAGGAGGGACAGGGTTAAAAGAGAGAATAGAATAACTGGGGGGCAGGATAGGATGAAGTGAAATATAGTTAGTTTTTCACAACATGAGTATTATGGAAGTGTTTTGCATAACTACACGTGTATAAACTTTATTGAGTTGCTTGCCTTTTCAATGAGGGCGGGGGGGAGAGAAGGGAGAGAATTTGTAACCCAAAGTTTCAAAAACACATGTTAAAAAATATCGTTTTCACATGCAACTGGGAAATAAGATATACAGGAAATGGGTATAGAAATCTATTGTGCCCTACAGGAAAATAGAAGGGGAAGGGGATAAAAGAAGGGGGGGAAAGACAGAAGGGAGGGCAGATTAAGGGAAGGAGTATTCAGAATTCATGCCATCTTGGGGTGGGGGAGGGGTGAGGTGGGGAGAAAATTTGGAACTCAAAATCTTGTGGAGGTGAATGTTGAAAACTAAAAATAAATAACTTTAAAAAAAAAATCCTGATTACCCTGTTCCACAGCATACTCATTTCCAGTGACCACTCCTCTGCCCCACTTCAAACATACAGATAGTCATTTCTTGGATCTTGCCATCATGCACAAATCAACCATCTCCTTGTTCAAGAACTCTGAAATTCCATTATCTGGTAACAGTCTATTGGCTTTCCACCTCCCCCTCTACCTTTCCATACCATACCCTACTTCTCATCCACTTCATGACCTCCAATCCCTTGACCACCCAGTTCTCTCCCAGACCATCACCCCTGCATTAGCCATTTTCCCCTCCATGACCTCTTGGTAAATCAAGGCAACACCACATTGTCCTCTTCTCTTGAGTCCCTTGTCCCTTTATCATATCACTAATCATGCCCTGCCATGCCTCAGCCCTGGATCACTCCTAGTATCTGCTGACTTATTCCTATACATAAGCTGCTGAATGAAGGAGAAAATCATGCAACCATTCTGATTGGATCCACTACAAATTTATGTTACATAAACTCAACTGGGCCTATGTTGCTGCTAGGCATTCCTTCTACACTTCCCTTTATCAACTCACTATCACACTATCCACAGCAATTTTTCCAAACCTTTTCTTTGCTCCTCAGATTTGCCATGGCTATTACTCTCAGTTAAGATTCTTGCCTCAAATTTTACTGAAAATAATTGAGGCCATTTGCCAAGCATACCTCCTGCTCATCTCATATCACCCCAATCCTTCACCCCAATTTTACATAAAGAGGAGGCCCTACTCCTTGCCAAAGCAAACCTCTCTTCCTGCATAAACAATCTCATTCCATCCTATCTGCTCCAGCTGATTGCTCCCCCTGTCATCCCCTACTCTCTCATTTATCTTTAATCTCTGTCTACAGGCTCCTTCTCTACTGCTTACAAACATTCCCATGTCTCCCCCATCCTCAAAAACCCCTCAATTCATCCTTCCATCCCTCCTATTGTCCTATATTCCTTCTGCCTTTTGTGGTAAAACTCCTTGAAAAGACCATCTATAATAGCTGCCTCTACTTATTCTCCTCTTGACTCTCTACAATATCACTTCCAATGTTATTATTCAACCAAAACTACTCTCTCCAGAGTTACCAGATCTCCAGAGTTACCAGATCATTAGTATCTTAAATCCAATGGCCTTTTCTCAGTCCTCATCCTTCTTGATCTCTCTGTAGCCTCTGATACTATTGATCACACTCTTATCCTTGATACTCTCTTTTTCTCCACGGTTTTCAGGACACCACTATCTCCTGGCTGTACTCCTACCTATCTGGCCACTCCTCAGTTTTCTTTACTGGGTCTTTACCCACCCACTAACCTTGGGTGTACCATAGGGTTCTATCCTGGGCCCTCTTCTCTTCTTCCTTTATACTACTTCACTTGGTGATCTTATTAGCTCCCACGGATTTAGTTATCATCTCTATTCTGACAATTCTCAATTTATCCAGCCTTAAGCTTTCTGCTGACCTCCAGCTTGCATCTCCAACTGCTTTTCAGATACCTTGAACTGGACGTCCAGTAGACAACTTAAACTCAACATGTCCAAAACAGACATTCCAAAATGGAATAATAATATGTATATCAAATAACTCATTATCTTTCCCCCTACTTCTCTATTATTGTCAAGGGTACCACTTTCCTCTCAGTCTCTCAGGATCACAACCTATATGTCATCCTCCCTTACTCACTATCTCTCACCACCACCACCCCCATCCCATCTGTTTCCAAGGCCCATTGATTTCATCTTTGAAACACCTCTTGAACATATTCCCTTCTATTCTCTGACACTGATACCACTCGGGTGCAGGCCCTTCTCTCCTCATGCCTAGACTACTGCAATAGCTTACTGATGGGTCTACCTTCTTCAAGGCTCTCCCCAGTCAAATCCATTCTTCATTCAGTCATCAAAGGGATTTTCCTAAAGTGCAGATCTTACCATGTTCTGCACCCTTCCCCACACTCTCAAAAAACTCCGGTGGCTTCCTATCATCTCCAGGATCAAATACAAAATTTTTTATTTGCCATTTATAGCACTTTATAACCTACCCTTCGTAACTCCCCATCTTTCCAGTCTTCTTGTAGTTTATACTCTCCTCCCACCAAATACTCTTCAATCCAGTGACCATGGCCTCCTTTCTGTTCCCCAAACAAGAGGACACTCCATCTCTTGGTTCTGGGCATTTTCTCTGGTTGTCTTCCATGCCTGGGATGCTCCTCCTCCCCATCTCTACTCACTGGCTTTTCTGGCTTCCTTTAAGTCCCAGATAAAATTCCATCTTCTACAGGAAGCCTTTCCCAATTCCGTTTAATTGTAGGGCCTTCTCTGTTGATTATTTCCTAATTATCTTGAGTATAACTTGTTTTTATGTAGTTGTTTTCATGTTGTCTTCCACTTTAGATTGTGAGCTCCTTGAGAGCAAGGATAATCCTTGTCTTTCATTGTGTCCCCAGAGCTTAGCACAGCACCTGACACACAGGAATTTAATAAACGCTTATTGACTGGCTGAAAAGTATGTGGATGACTCAGCATACCCATCTGTCCTGGAGCAGAGTTTCTGTTCAAAGCTCTAATTGTTCTGGTAGGGAATTCAGAATGCTATGATAACACAGGAAAGGCAATACTATTCACACTATCAGAATTCCCCTTAGATTGTGGACAGAGACAGGATTCAACAGATCTAGCTTTGACACCAATTAGCAGGGCAAGTCACTTAACCACCTTAACCTTAACCTGTCAATATGGGCCTTTATTTTTTATCTACAAAAGTGGGGACAATAATATTTGCCTTTCCTACCTCACAGTTATTATGAGGAAAGTGGACGGCCCTTGGATCCTTTGTAAACCTTAAAACACTGTGGAAATGCCACCATTATGCTAGAGGTAGAAGAAAGACCTGAAGAAGCTGATTCATAGCTTCCTCTTCTAGTCACTTTCTTTTATCCAGAATGGTGCCATGGATGGAGCTCAGGCTAGAGTCAGGAAGACCTGATTTGAAATCTAGCCTCAGACACTTTCTAGTTATGTGACCCTGGGCAAGTCATTTAACCTCTGTCTGCCACAGTTTACTCAACTGTACAATGGGGATAATAATAGCCCTACTTTACTGGGTGTTTGTGAGGTCTCAAACAAGATGATATTTGTAAAGTGTTAGCACAGGGTCTGGCACATAGTAAGTACTTAATAAATGCTTGTTCCCTCCCTCTTTCCTTCCCATGGACTTCTAAAAAAGGGGGAAGGAAGGGGAAAGAAAACTGTTGGGCTACACATGTACCCACCCACTTATTGCTGGTTCGACATCCTGCTCAAGTCAGGAAACTCCAACTACCATGATTGGGGATGCTGCTTCTCAAAGCAGCAGACCCAGGATAGTCCCTGCCTAATCCTCTGGTTCCAGGAGCAGTTGTAGGAAAAACCCCCAAGAGAGTTTCTGATTAATGTCATCAGCTCCTACAAGTATTAGGCATGTTAATAAAAGTAACTTGCTCTCCTGCTGAGCTGTGGGCAGTGGGCTTACTTTGCATAGGGCCTTAAAGGGATCATTGTTCCAAAACTGGGGTCATATCTCTCCACAAAGGATCTATGCTGACCCCTTCTGTACAAGTCAGAGATAAAGTAAGGACTTTCACCTACCATGGTGAGTGTTGCCGGGCACTCTGGTTCTTAACCTCAGTGAAGCTTGACCCTGAAATGAAAACAAATATACACCAGTTCAGGGTGAGTTCTTTTAACATTATGTAATTAGAACTATCATGAAAATTGTTTTCTTGCAGTACTCCCAAAGCAGTTCCCAGTGCCCCCAAATAATCTGACAACCCATTCTGTGTACCAGATCCCCTTGACCATCTACAAAAGCCACCCGTTCCATGTATCCTTCCAAAGTTAAATAGAAGAAAAGTGTAGAAGTTATCTCTCCACCCTAGAACATCTTTATTGGAAGAATAAACATTGTTCCCCTTTTATATTTGCCAGAATCGAGTCCTTATGTATGGTCTTCATTCAACTTTTAGTAAGTATGTACTGTGTACAAATCATGAGACTAAATGCTAGAAAAGATACAAAACCTCCCCCAAAATCTACAGGGATAGGGGAATGGGAGAGGGGGCAAATACTTTCAATATGCATGGTATGGACCATTAGAGATTTTTTTTAAAAAAAGTTCAATGCGGGATACAAAGGCTGAAGTTGTTATTGTTCTGAGTGATCAGAGAAGGCTTTATTCAGGGTTGACTTTGTTAAAATGGAACCCACCCACCCACCCACTCGTCCTCCCCCAATCTGGACACAATACTCCAGTGCTTACCATTACTATCCTCCATTATCAAGAGCAATTGAGTAATAAGTGTATTCATTTCATACTATGACTTTTTTCATTTGCCTTTTTAGGAAGGCAATGAGAATACAGAGTAAAAAAGTCTGGGTTCTAGTGATTTTCCCTCTGACTTGCTATGAGATCCTTGGACAAGAAGTTACTTCCTTTCCCAGGGCTTCTATTTTTTCCTCAGTAAAATCGAGGTTTGAACTAGATGACATGTAAGGTCTTTTCTTGTTCCAACAGTCTACAAATCAATATAGTTGCTATTAAGGCATCCTAAAGGCTTTGGACTCTACAATGCCACATGTGGAGGTCCATGCCTACCTGACCAGCATCCAAATAATCCTATTTCAATAGGAAATTGGCACTGGGAGGTAATTTCCTTGAACTCTCTGTGGGGAATGCATAGTTATGATTACCTAAGATAGCTTGGAAGCATTGCAGCTGGAGCTACATTTTGCTAAATTTGGCAGCCCCAAGGGGGGAAAATGGAACTTTAAAATCAGGAAGTCTGCTTTGGCTAACATTTCCATCCCGTCTGTCATGCTATCCTGTGCCAGCAGTGAGAAACTGCCTGGATTTGGAAATATGCTTATTGACAGCCAGCTGGGTGAAGGAGGGGATGGCAAATGAAAGTCAGCCAGCTCATCGGACCTGTTGTGGTCACTTTTGTTGCAGAGCCAGCAGGACTCTAGACACAAGTGACTTATTTCACTCTGAGGAGCAAAGAACTCTAAAGCTGCAACAAGATCTTCAAAAGGTCATTGAGTGCACCCCTCTTCTTCCAGAAAGGATGATTCAGAACCCAACTGGACTCATTCAGAACCCAATTTGAATGGTTCAGATAGGGCAAAAAGGTACTATTTCTTAAGGAATCTTACTTACATTCTTTCTTTGGTGAAGCATTCAGTAAATTCTTCCTTGGAACCCACCTAAACTCCTTTTGCTTCATTCAATACAGATGCTACCTCTCAAGCATATAATATTCACACACTAAGAATCCCACATTTGGTACTGGCATGCAACCACCCTTCAGTCTTCCCTTCTCTAGGCTGGTTGTCATTCTTCACAACGAAGAAAGGAGCTTCAGTCTGATCATCTTGTTTCACGTCCCACCTGTTGGTTTTTTAGCTTCTCCCTCCAAAAGACTGACCAGTCTCAAAGCTCATGAGAGAGCCTAAGAGGATCTTTCTTAGGAATGTAGGACTTAGATCTGGAAGGTGTGTTAGAAATCATCTAATTTGGCTCCCTTATTATACAAATAAGAAAATTGAAACTCATAAAAGTCAAATGTCTAGCCCAAAGTCATATAGGTTGTCAGCCTTAGGGTTCAAACTCAGGTTCTCTGATTCCAAATTCAATGCCAAATTCTACTGTATGTGTATATAAATACATATAAATGTGTATGTAAATACATACAAATATGTGTATATATAAAAAGTGTATATAAAATGCTATACAAATCTTAAAATGTCATATAAATGTTCACTATTATCATTATATCTATTTTCTGCCTCAGAGACCCCCTCTTTTTAATTTTAACATCCTCCAGTTGTCTGCAGTTCACAAAGAACCATGTGACCAACTTGAGTGATGGTCCTGGGAGGCTTAGACTGGGCTCAGTGGTATCAGATCTTTTCACAAGCATGAAGGGACTGAGTGGGAGAGGCAGAGAAGGGAGAGGATAGAGCTTAGATAAGACAGCATGTGAGGAGTCAGAGTGACAGAGACTGGGAAGAGCATTGAAGTTCCATAACCAGTTCTACAGAGTCTCGGGGCTCTTGGAAGAGAAGTAAAAAGCAGAAAGTCTTTGTGACAATCATCATGATCAAAGATAATGGGAAGATTAGTAACAGGCAACTCTATCAATAATCAGTGTCTAGGAATCAAGGCAAAGAGAGCTTTCACCTGGGTAGAAAATCAAAATACCACAATCGTAAGGCTATGATGGGAGGAGAAGGAAGATATGGTGTGTAATGAGAGTTCCAGGCTCTGTCTGCCTCAGTTGCCTTTGTCTCTCTTTTTCTCCTTGATTCTCTCTCATCACCATCCACAGCTTCTCCCCTCCCACTTCCACCTCTACCTGGCCCCTTTCTGTCCACTGCCCCATTCAACTGCTGTTCCCTCGCCTCCTACCAAGGAACTATCGGAAGTCAACATTCCCTTTCTCTCTTCATTAAAGGAGCATCACCCCCTCCATGCACCAGGGGGCTGTGATCAACTACAGCTACTCAGAGTCTCCAAGATGCTATTCTTCTACCCAGAAAATCAATTTTCATGTTGGTTCATCACCTGGCATTGTGCTAAGTACTCTCATATGTGTAATTTCACTTGTCCCTCACCTATGGTTAGGTTAGAGCAGTTTTTATTCTCCCCATTTTATAGCTGAGGAAACCGAGGCATAGAACATTTGAATTACTTGTCCAAAACCACACAGCTAGTTTAATGGCAAAACTTAGGTTAGAATTAAGGGCTCCTGTGTGCTAATACAATGTGCTTTCTACCCCAGCTATCTCCCATTTCCCAGAGTATTTTGATCCCGCTAAATTGGAATCCAGTTAGCAAAAAAGTAAAGCTTCATTCTTTAAGAATTCCTATTCAAGGAGCAGCTAGAGCACCAGCCCTCCAGTCAGGAGGACCTGAGTTCAAATCAGGCCCCAGATACATAATACTTACAAGCTGTGTGACCCTGGGCAAGTCACTTAACCCTATTGCCCAGCCCAAAAAAAAAAAAAAAGAGTTACCATTTGAGGATTTATGATAATTTAGATGCAGTGAATGTAATTTTAGTTTAAAAAAATGGTTTGTCTGGTACTTGGGCCAGCAGTTAATTTTCTGCATATAAAGAACTTTTACTTTTTTGATACATCATCTGCACTGATAGAGGGAATTTTCTCACTGGGAGCTTCCTACATCAATGAATTATCAGGCTGGGAACAAAAAACATTGGAAATTATGTGCAGGCAGGAACTAAGTCTGAAAAATTTTTGTGTCTCCTAAAGCATTCATCAAAGGCCCTTATACATAGTAAATGTTCAATAAATATCCATTAATTGAGTGACTACATCTGATGTAAGCTTATTACAAAGGTTTCAGAGATAAAGACCTACTAATACTCTAGAGGACCTTTTCCTTCCTTCCCTCCTCAACCTAACACTCAGAAATTAGTGAACTTTCACAATTATTAGACTTCAAGAAATCTACCCAGATTTTTTTCTTCAGACAGGCCACTTTCTCCCCCTACTGTCTGCTTCTAGTATCCACACCTGTCATTCTCACTGATACAGTATTACCTAAGAGACTGTAAACCCAACAGGCCCATAATCTCCCCTTTCCACCCTCCAAAAAGGACATGAAAACACTGGTGTCAAGAGATGACGAAGAAAACAGTTAAATTACAGTGTTGAGAAATCAGTTACAGAACTTGGTGTTTTGTTTTTTTTAAACTGGAGCAGAAAACATGAAATATATTACTTCAACTATGTCTAATGTTTAATATTACTTTTGTCTTCATCCTTCCTTGAATGAAAATCAGTACTACCATTAATGACATTTTAAGCAGGCATATGTGAAAGTACCTTATGTTTTTCAAATTGCTTTCATGTCTATTGCAGTAGCTCACTTAAGTCTCATAACCACCTAGTAAAGGAGGTGGGGAGGAATTGTTCTTCCCATTAAAAAGACATTGTGGATCAGAAAGAGCTAAGTGACAGCTTCACACAGCTAGTTTAAGGAAAAGGAAAAGCTTGAACTTAAGTCTCATGTACAGTATTCTTTCTATCTCACCACTTTGCCTACTAAAACGCCCCAAATGCATGTACAAAGTAATTCATGCTCGTAGTTGATGGGACACAAAGTACAAAAGGAGACTTTATTAAATAATAGCTAGTATTTATACAGAACTTTAAGGCTTGCAGGATAGTACATTTGTTAACTTATTTGATCTTCACAACCCTATGGGGTAAGTGTCATTATTATCCCCATTTTACAGCTAAGGTAACTAAGGCACAGAGGATTTAAGTTACACAAATATCTTACACAAGTGTGCCGGCCGCGCCGTGCACTCTCCTCCTATAAGGAGCAGGTGCCAGAGTCATACTTACCAGTCTTCGGAGCCTACCCGGATACACACACAGAGACAAGCCGACCAGGAGGTGCCAACACCCGAGCTTTATTCAGAGGCCACCACAGCAAGGCCAAGCAGGAAGGCCAGAGCAACAGAGCAGGAGCAAAGAGAGAGCGTGATCCGACCACGATCCGTTCCTTAAGTACCTACTTAGCCCCTCCTCCTCAGCCCACCTACTAGTCAATGATTGTAGGG